AGGCACTACCCGGCTTCACCCCTCCCTCCCCTCTCGGCTTTGGCCGAGCTTCTCAGCCGCCTCATCGGCTTCCCGGCCCCCTCCTCAGCTTCCCGGGCCGCTCCCGCCGGGAAAGGGCGGCAGCTGAAGCCGCCACCGCCCTCAGGAGTGGGAGCAGCCGCGTCCCCGCTTCTGGCCAGGGCCGCGCTTCCCGCCTCCCGCGCGAGCTCCTGGCGCGCGGCCTCCGGAATTTACCTCAGCTAAATCGCGATGCAAAGTTACACTGAAAACTTTCGTTGTTCAACTTCCTTGATTAAAACACAAAAAAGGCCCTCTACAGTAGTCAAATTTTATTACAAGTGTAATAAACTTCATGATTTTTAGCACTAAGGCAATCACAGTTTCATAAGTTATATATATATATATAATTTACACCAGTCTACATTGACAAATCAATTACTGGTCACATCAACGAGGGGGTTTGTGTTATGGCAAATAAAATCTTAGGAAAATTCACAGTTAATCTGCAAGTATTGTAAAGATGCAGGATCATATTGCACATCATAAAATGGACGCTGAGGAGCAGATTTACAGTGTTCCAGCTATTCCTTCACAGAATATACATTGGTCATCATCATCATCATCATCATCATGCAATAACTTCAAATACAGAATGGTATCAAGTACCACAGTAAACAGTTACTCACAATGTAAGTTTTAAATAGAGTAGCAAAAAGCTGTTAGGTTTCTCTTTAAACCATATTTAAGTTCTTAAAATATAATAAAACACTTTGATAAAATCAAATGGAGTTAGGGTTGTCACATTGTACTTTTAATGTTCTTCTTTGTCTTTTCCTTTCTTTTCYTTTTCATCCTGTAGTGCAGTACCAAGTTTCTTTATAAGGACTGACAAAACTTTGTCCAAAGGATCCATGACACCACGCTGCAGCCACTTAGGGATAGTAGTCCTTGCATGGTGAAAGCCCAGCTTTTGGAGGATGTAATCAACACCAACGGGATCAATTTTCCTCCCAGTCCAGGATATTAATCTATAAAAACAATAAATAGAAGTCTCAGTCTAAAGTACATAAATACAGCAAACAGGCATTCGTATATACAAAAAGCCATTTTCCCCAGTGTTACCTAAATCTAACAGGCATTGTTTTGAACTTAATTTAGAGGGAGAAGCTGAAGATGACCAGTGGAATATCCTCTCAAAGGAAGAGGATGTTTAAGGAGGTGAAAAACCTGACTGGGTTGCCTGCAGATCATGTTTAAATTGCTTTATTGCTAGCACAAAATGCCAAGTGTCAAGATTTGCTTGGCCTGGACAGATAGAAGAAGACAGTGTTGTTTTTGTATGTGAATAAACACTCGGGTCTTCCAGCAGTGTCAGCAAAGGTTAAAAAAAAACAAACCCCCATGGAGAAAAGTCAGTTCAATGATTATAAATATCATTGAAAAAGAGTGGAAAAAAATCACAGCCGTATAGCAATKAATACATCCTGCATGAGTGTTCAAAAACTAAAACTGGAATGCTAAAAACGGAAAAAACTACAGGATGAAAACTGTATGGCTGGAAGTGAATGGGCTGTTGTAAGACARAGKGAAATTAATGAGCTCAAGTTTACTGTTTCCTAATTGTGAYRAGCYTCCAACAATGCCTTTAAAAAGCCTAAATYCTAATCTARAAGTGAAAGCACAGCCAAGGAGCCYGCAGCTGCAGGTGATTCTYACCTGAGCGTGGGCTCCAAATGCCAAGTATTGCACATAAATTCCCTCCAGTCGACTGTAGTGTAGGTAATGCTTTCCTCTGCCTCTTTGTCAGTGGAGCTGTCCTCAAGGACACCAACAGAGCTCTTCTGGCCTGGACGAGCAGCCAAAATGCGAGGAGGAAAAATRGCTGCAAAGGAGAGAGGAAAAATCCCAGTCAGTCATGAGAAGCTCACTTGAATTCTCTTTGTACATAATTTAAATAAAACAAAAGCACAAGTCTCAACAAGRAGAGAACCACCTCGTGTTTCAGTTTTACAGATTTTCTGCAAAAGACCACATATTCCTTAAGAATGAATGTGCCAAATTTGAATGCTGCAACTGAACATATTCATGTAGAAAAGTAAATTGTTCTGAAATCAGAAGAACRCATGTCTTGAAAGGACTCCACTGATAAAAGGATTGCAATAACAATAATAAAGCTTCTTAAAAGTTTTCATCTGCCTATTCTATCTTACAAAGAGAAAGTTAAACACCAGGTGTCAAAATAGGAGCAAGTTAATGGTTTAAGAGTATATTTACTTGTCAAGTAATGGGACAACTCCAGATTGCCAGACAAATGTTACCTCAGCAATAACACCTTACCTTTTTCTTTTTCTTTTAAATAAGCAGACACCAAGTCATGCAGAAACATGATCAGTTCAGCATCCATAGTCACGCAGATGTGGTCTGTAAATTCAGTTACTACACTGCATTCCACTTTTGGTTTGACACTTGTATCTACAGTCAGATGAAAACAGTATTAATACACTTCCAAGAACATACAGGATATGTAAAAAGTACATTTGTTTGGATATTAAAGTAACAAGGAAAACCCAACAGATTGAATTATCTATATTTTTTTTCCAGGAGCAGGTATGGAGTAAAGCCACAGCTCAGCCAAGATTAATATCTAAATTAATGACTTAAACCTTGAGAAGTTTTATTTCCCACCAGTTCCAACTGCAATCTGAAGATACCATTTTGAAAACAAGAACAAAATTTAGGCTCCTATCTCATATTACTTTGAATGGAATGGCCCCCTTCTTTAACATTTTGGTAAGTACAGAAAACAAAACCCCCGAACACAGCCAACCTTGCTGAAATGCTCATACTAATTTCTCTTAGTGTATTCTACAGTGATCAGTTTCTGCACTACATCTTCAGTCTCTCTACATTTTACTACAAAATCTTATTTTTTCTTGCAGATGTGTAGTAGTTCTCTGATTAAATCCTCTTCTACTAGCACAGTACCTTTGAACTTAGCTCCTAATTAGTGAGAAACAGTTTTTGACCAAGAAAAACCAAATTATGTTTTACTGCACCTTGTAATGAAGGCTCTTGGGGCTCTTGAACATGGATAGATTTAAAATCCAGCTGCATCCTTGGCAATGCAAAGATGGTTTCAGTTTCATGGTTGTAACTGGAGCCACCCCTGAAGCCACTTAACAAGCTTGAGCTTTTCACTGTTGTGCTGCTCTCTGGGTTGTTGGCATCAACATTCCGAAGAAGGTTCAACTCTACAGGAACAATGGGAGATGTTAAATTGTGACAGGGCAAAAAATTAAAGAAGGTCACTTGTAAACCTGCTGCTGTATGATTATTGAGATGGTATCTTTTATCCTACTCCCAAAAGCACAGCTAGAAAACATCAATCAAATTTGTTGTTTATACACTTGAAATGTTGCAGCTTTTCAACAGCTCCCTCTGCAAGCAGATCAATCCCCAAACTGAATGAACATGACTCTAACCTTCATTCCTTGTGGCTGTCACATAATTGAACCACTCCTTCACACTGGCCACCCCGTGRGGGGGATTTTCATGGCGGCGCCGTGTTATCTTTGTGATGGTGGCCATGGGGCTTTCCAGGGCTCCACAGGGCTTGGTGACCATGGTGTTATGGCCCAAATGAAAGTCCAGGGTTTGCACAATGTATGTGGAGTGTTCACTGGTTCCTGCATTGAAGGGGTGGGCAAGAGAGGGTGAGAGAGAAAAGAAAAGAGGAAAACAGTTTAGTGAGGGTAGTGGAATTTTCTCTCATTCTCACACAAGTACAAAAAATGAGTAATTAGTATGCCAGTGGAATAAAAACTGATATAAAACTTACAAACAACAAGGAACTAAATCCTTAGTAGCTACAGACAATAAAACTTTGCAATATTAAGACAAATATAAGCAATAAGATCATTAAAATTCATCATACAGCTAGAAAGCACTACACAAACACACACATGGTTATTATCAGGGACATATCTAGTATATTTGAAAAAGTACTTTGCAATATTCCACAGATAATCAAATTGTGATGAAGGTTTTTAGTTAACTGCAGTATTTTTGGGAAATAATCTTGATTCAGACAAAGAAAATCAWTTTTTCTTTGCTTTCTTATTATGTATTAATACATTCTTAAAAACTCATTTAAAGAAGTGTAGAGAAAGTAGTAGTTTAAATTACCATCTTCCAAAACTTTCTGGGCTTCTGTCCAAAATGCAATATTGGGTTCTTCGAGGTGAAATAAGGCCCATGATTTTGAACGGAAATTAGGACCATGAAAACAAGCCAGGGTCATATGGTTCCCATGCAGGCTCATGGATCCTCCAAACTGCATCCCATCTTCTGGCAGTGGCATCTGAAACAGGGATATGTGGCACCCAGACACCACCTTCAGAACTCCTGGCCAGTGGCGATGATGGGCTGCATCCAACACTGCCAAGCAAACATGAACAACAAACTTCAGGCAAGAGACAGGAAAAGACCACTACCATATTTGTATCTATAGTAAAACATAGCCTTATCAGTGATATTTGCTTATCTCTTTCATTGACACTCTCTCTGAGGTAATTTTTGCAAATAAAACATCCTAATTGGGAATCATATTATTTTTTGGTAGCACTTACATTGCTCGTGTGAGCTTCTCTCCAAGTTGTTTGCCATTGTCTTGGGAGGGAGATAAGGAACAGGCCCCCAYGTGGACAGAGCTCGCTTGCTTGTGTCAAACTGCTGAGTGAAGAACTCCTGGAGTTTCATTCCTATTTTTATCAGGTCTGGTGTAGTCGACCTTGAAATCATCACTTGGAAGATATCCCATTTCAAGTCCCCATGGACAAAGATCTCACTAGATATTAAAAATAACAAGAAAATTAGCAGTTAAACTATTTCCTACTGACATTAAAAACAAACAAACAAAATGTATTCTAGCAGACACATTTCTGATTAGTGCTGGATAGAAGACATTTGACATTATCAAATATCATACATTTTAAACACAAGAAATATTATTACCTTTTATCAGTCATGCTCGAATCCAAATTATTATACAGATTAATTTTCCATTCATCCTGTAGTTTAAGATCAGCATTACTGAAGATTCCCATTAGGATGCTGGATCCCATATAATCAACACGTGCTTCAGTAGAACCCATAGTTATTTCAATTTTATGATTGGGCTGTTGGTTTGGGTGTTCAGAAATATGAGCTGAAAGAGAACCACAGCAATATACAGAGTTACAGAGATGAAAATACAGAGAATTATAGAGATACAGAATTAAAGAGATGAAAATCAGTTATTCCAGAGACATCACTTTTATTGACTGGAGCACGTGGTAATACCAGGAGGCTTCCCAACTTACCCACCATCTCCAGGGTGTTAACATCTATGGTACCTCCAACAACTCCCCCTCTGGAGTCCAGCTGGGATCTCCCCAAGCCCACAGACATGCTGATCTCCCGATCTCTGCTGCTTCCCACAGACAAGCGGCCCTGACTTTTCAAACCACTGGTGGTCCACCTAAAACAGAGGTGAAAACAGACAACTACTTGCCAGGCTGTCAAAAAAGAAAGTGATTATTATCTACTGGAAAGCAGGAAATAATGTGGTTTAGGCATATATGACTTCAGGATTAAGCCTCTACAGTATTCATGAGGGAATTCTCAGTTCAAAACTGAAAAAGATAGGATTTTAAAGCCAAAAGACAACAGGCTGTTAACATTCTGAGGGGAAAACAATGTTCTTATGCCCCAGAGCACCATTACCTGTTAAAACATGCTTGATCTTGTTTTATACTTACGTGGTATTGCCCATTACGTTGCTCATGTTCATTTGAACATTTAATTGTTTTAGATTCATAGCAAACACAACTAGTGTTTCCCAAGGTGTTCCTTGCTGGCTTCCAGCTTTATTTGACTTATTAAATGGAGTTGATGTTTTTGAGAGAGTATCTAACAAAAAAAACAAAGTAGACAAAAAATTAAATTACTCCACACTCTAGAAAAAAATGGTAGAATATATCCATTGTAAATATCACAAGAAGACTGATGAGCACAATATTTAAAGAGCACAAAACTGTGAGAAGTGAGAACTAGAGGATTTGCAATATGCATGGCTTTARTTCTCAGAGAAACTGACTCACTGCACACACATGGACAATGCAATTTTATTGAAAATATGCCCACAACTTTCATTCATCCGTTTCAGACATTTTCCTTTCTCTAAGCCATTTACTCTCCAGTGCCAGGCACAGTGGGAAAGAGTATTTCCAAAGCAGCAATGACATACTCCTTTCATACAACTGATGAAAATACTTAAAAGAATTTAAAATTCTTATCTATTCACCTCTCTGAGGCACTGAAGAGTCAGACACGCTCCTGGATCTTGTGACAGCTGGAGACTTGAGGCTGTGGGATGCTGTCCCAGGGGACATACTGCTGCTGGCACTGTGCTCACTGAAAACATTGGGTGACTGTGCCATGTGAGTGAAGGAAGCAGACTGGCAGGGCTGCTCCCACGTCCTGCAGTATGCCTTCCGTGAGGATTCAGGAGAAAGATGCTGGCTCACTCCTTCAATTGAATCTGGTGTTCCAGGGCCCGATGCTACTGGAGAAAAAGCAGCRCATGAAATGCAGAAAAACAATTTCATTTGTCTCTAACCATATCCTCCCATATACTAAGAAGTATTTGGAGAGTGACAAGTGGATTTCATTTAATGTAACTACCAGTTTTCTGTTGTCTTCATTAATAAATCATAAAACTACAGAATGGTTTGGGTTGAAAGGGATCTTAAATATCATCTGGTGCCAACCCTACCTTGGGCAGGGATGCCATTCACTAGATTAGGTGGCTAAGGGCCCCCATCCAACCTGGCCTTGGAAGACACTCTTTACATTATTCAATGGCCTAATTCAGAAATTTTTCACTTCCTCCTTCTAGGATTTTCTATTGAACTTCTTTTGAGTGACTGCATATGGAGGAAATGATAATACATTTACATCTAGTCACACATGTAGTAAGACACGGATAAAAAGGGTATATAAAATTCCTACTGTAACCCTTTGTATAATGAGGATTTTTGTGATAAGAAGAATTCTCCTACCTGGCAGATTTATTGTCTGATCACCCAGGAAAAGCCTTCTAGCAATACTTCTCCTGTACCAAGCCCTGGGAAAGGCCARGATCTCACTGAGGCGGCGCATGTCATATTTGAATGAAGCAGATCCTATGTCACAGACAGCTGGAAAAGAAAAAGCACATCCACACAATTGTAAATTCTCAGTAGGAACAGGTTTGGGTAACCAAGTCAAATTCTTCTTCACCTGGCAGTATTGTCTCTGCTTGTCATGAAAAAAAGAGTTTTCCTGAGGTGCTGCCATTTCTCCAAGTCCAAATACTAAATACAAATGCATTTCACAATGGCAAGATGAAATCTAAGAATACAGACTGTATCAAGCCCTGCTTGTGTTGGATGTGCCTCAGAATTCTCATGTGAGAATTTTAATGGCAGATTAATCAAAACCATTGTGTTGTTTGCCCAGTAAGTCAGGATCCCATCTGCACAGACAGAAAATAAGTATGGAGACCTTAAAAAATATTTAAAAAGCTGCCAAGAGCAAAGTCTGTCACTGGGGCAGCAGATCTCAAATTAGCTGAAGAGATGGGATTACAATGAAAGAAGCATGTACCAGATATGTTGATCAGTGTGGTATCTATCTTGCTGGTAGCTTTGCTTGCAGACTGACTCTCAAAAAAGGAGGAGCCTCCGGAACGCCGGATCCGTGACAGGCTGACTTTGACAAACTCCAGGTTGATGCTCAAGGAATCTTTCCGGCCAGTGACCGAAGTTGGCTCCTCATCCACATTACCTAGAAGTGGGTGGGAGCAAAAAATTGTCATCTTGTGTGATCTTTTCAAATTTGCAGTTCACATAATTGTACCACACTTGAAACATGGTCATTGAAGCAAACAAAACCTTGTTACTTACCCAGGGCTCCCGATCCAGGGGTCAGCACAGTAACAGCTGATTTCTGTTTGCCAGCTCCATAGGGATGGAACACGTAGAGGGAGAAGTCAGACATGCAGGCAGTGAAGCTCAGGCCTGAAGAGCTGCTGCTGGAAGTGGTCAGGTCTGACTGACTGCTGCTGTGCCGCGTCCTGCCCAGAGGGCTGCCCAGGCCAGGTGATGAACCTGGAGTCATATTTTGGGCAAAAATCAGCTTTTCAAACATGAAATAATACTTAATATTAACAGCAGTATTAAACAGACCAAATGCAGTGCAAATTACGCCCTCTAGCAGCAATATAGGTTAAATATTCTGTGTATGAAATCAACATTGACACATGTATTACCTGGTGCTCCAGATTTACTGACTGAATTCTTGGAGCCACTCTGTGAAGTACTGCCACCAATGGACACRCTTTCTGATGGGTATGTGGTGCCTAAAGTTTCCAGTTCTCCTCGGTTGGAAGAGAAAACAAGATCCAAGGAAGGCAACTTCAGCATACATTCAACTCTGGATACTGGCAAGCAGCTGAACTTGATTTGAGAGGGCTGACAGGCAGARAGAAAATAAAGCATTCAGAAGTGACATTTGAAAAATTTTTGTTTTTCAAAATGCACACTTGCATGGATTGTTTAAAAGACTGTGACTAAAGTTACTTAATATCCTGAATGTTGAGTTAAAGGCTCACCTGAACTCGYACATAAACCACCACATCGACAGGGAAGGAGGAATATGCTGATGTTGAGGATGACACTAAGGATGTTGTGGACTCTTCTAAGGGATCTTGTATATCAAACTGTCCCATGTCTTCATCCTGGGAACTAACAGCTTTTAACAAGTACAAAAACTCATTAGAAAGTGGAATTTAAAGTGAAAAGCAGCTCAAAACGGAAAAAAGCACAAAGTTCTAGAACAGAAATGTGCAACTGACCTGCGTAATTCCTTTCAATAGGTGTAATAGGAATGGTTTCAAGAGCTTTCTCCAGGAAGTCCAGGAGGCACGGGCTGATCACCATCTCCTCTGGCAGTGACTGGAGTGCAACCCATGCATAAAGTTTAGCAGTTTTCACTCCACCACTTCCTTTCCCTTTGGCTGCAATATTGAAAACATGCATTTGTTTAAGGTAATACCACTGAGCAGTAACTGATAAACATTAGAAGACACGTCATAACTTATCAGCTGTGCCCTCTAATTCTCTCTGTCATCTGAAGAAACATAGATCAGATCTACTAGAAAAAATTGAGTTAAGTTTTCACTCATAAACTGCAAAAACAATTACAAATCTGTAATGCTTAATTGTAGTCATTCCATTGCTCATGTTCTCAACCAAGCACTCTGTTATCATCATCACCACTTCACTTTTTAGAAAATAGCACTGAAAGCAAACACACAGAGATCTTCTCCAAATACCCAAAGCAAAGAAACTGCAGCTGGAAGTGCAAACTGACTGGAAATGAAAGTGGAATTAGAAAAATAAATGCACAGGTCTGGAAAAAATATGAGTTTAAAAAGAGAAAATACATCAAACAATTAATACTGTAAATGGCAAGTCCTACTATATTTATGCAAGAAGTAAAGAATGCAAACCAGCATTTCTAAGAGCTTGGAACTAGCCAGAGTATAAACTAATAAAAAGCTTACTATCTTCTAAATCTGTGGAAGAGGCTTGAACCTATGCTCACCAAAATATAAATATGCAGAGCAGATRTTAGCACCAGCTGACTTACTGTCTCTGTGAAATATAGCTATTAGAATGAATATACAWAAATGGAGAGATGGATTTTAAATTCTCTGAGAAAAATATAAACATTTGCTGGTAAAAGAGATTAAAAATCATTTTATTTGCTAAAAAGGGCACTGAACTTTCATTCTATGTGAACTATTCTGCCTCATGTCTCTGACTACCTTGGCCTATCTTACTTTTACTGGAAACCAAAGACAATACAACAAGCTGGTTTCCATTCCAGAGGAACGGTTTCTGGAGGAAAATACTACTATAAAAAAAGTAATATAAGCAACACTAACTGTGTTTCAAAACAATTCAGGACTGGTAGAAACAAAAATACAATACATAAAGAAATAAAGCAATTACAATCCCATCTCTGGGGAGGCATTTATATTATCATACAGGTGCAATTTCCATACCAAATGTAGASCTTACAGAAATAAAACCAGCAAGACTCAGAACTTGGACATGATGTGGTAAGAATTCAAAGGCARAGATTAGAAAGAAGATAGGAAAGTACAGAATAAAAGTGAAGAGAAGTAGCACAAACTCTTTGGTAATCATAAAGAGGATGGCCACCTAAAGGAATAAGAGCTAATGGATCAATAGCATGGAGAATTGAAGAAGGTATCCCCATTTCACTGTTCTCTGCCAGCATCTCCAGTGATTTTATAAGGCAAAACACACAACTTTCAGTTATTAATTTTGCCTGCTGATCAAATTCTGACAAAATATCAGATTTGTGTTTAAAGCAGTAGTCAAATGCCAAAGGAGAGAAGAGTGAATGTCTCAGAAACAGGAGGTGCAATCTACTTGCCTCTGGATCTGACATGTGGTAACAGCCTCCTGCTTGAGRACAGGAATCATTGGAGACAAAACAAAACTTATATTAGAACTCATGCTACTCCAAATCATGCCTATTTATGGGCCTGCAACAAGTGAGATGTTTACACTTTGCTTTCCAACATCCTCTTGTTAAATGGGAACAGAGAGAAGGCAGTGACAACCCATCACTGGGATATGGTAATTATGATAGCAACATTACTGAGATTGGTTCGATAACAGCATCTAAAAATGCAGCTTTATCAACTGCATTCTTGCTGCTGGGRTCAGGATTCTGCAGCCCAAGTCAAGACTGGATAAATACAGAGCTCCAGGTTCCGTGCAGCCAGAYCTAAAGGCAGTAGATTACACCAAGGAAAGATACACATCTAGGAAAGATGCAGAAAGTTTGTCTATAAGTACCTGATGGGATGGGTGGGGGTTGGGGAGGAAGTAAGGTGTTAGTCTTGCTGTGGATAGTGCTAGAGAGAGGAGGAGATGTGGCAGTATCTTTCATACCATACAGCTTGGACTCTTTGGAAAGAGTGCGTGGCAGAGAGGATCCTCGAGAAGTGTTTGGCGATTCAGTCTTTAGGGTCTTGGAGTTGTAGTGCAACTGGAAAGCAGAGGAAGATCGAGTTATTTCATAGAAAGATCTCAACTTCCACACAGCCATTTGGTGTCACTCCTTCCCGTCCAAATTTATTTCTTCCCATTATTTACAGAAATATCGTTGTAAGATATGCTATGTTCATGTCCTACGCATATTAGAACTGCAAACTTTGTAYAAAAAAAGAGAAATTAATAAACTATTTAAAAAAAACAGAAACAGAGGAAATTAATTATTTAGGAACAATGTCTAAAGCTTGTTTCTCTCTTTGTTACATCAGATGCATCCTGTGCCACCTGTGCACACAGCCTCCTTCCTTTGTGTGATGCAATTGCTCCACTACCCAACACAGGCACACAGAAACTGGCATAGAAAAATATAAATAAGATACTGCAAGAGTTCTCACCTCCTCTGTGTGCATAATACACCATTACTGAAAACACAGAATATAACAAAAGCTTAGTTATTCCTATATTTGACTAAAAGCAATGGGCAGGATCTGAGGTAYAAGTGTTATCCCTGAAGACAGCCTGGAATACTGGAAAATGGATGCACATAGTCCTTCCATGTCAAAGGACTAGAAAAGCCAAGCTGTTTCAAGGATGGAGCATTTGATTTATGGCACAGCCTCAACTGAACTGCATGAAGTTTTCCTTCAGCAGAGAAGGATTTTACCCTGTTCTTACTCCATAGGATTTCAAATCACAAAATRCAAGGCCATTTCTGTTGAGACCCTTTCTTGCTAGGATACAGAAACAACGATTAAAAAACCAAGGRAGTGTACAGTTTGACAGTGCTCAGGAAAAAACATTGTCATTGCGTCCCTGCTGAGTTATTCCCTCATTTTACCTTTACATCCACCCCAGGAATATAAAACACTGTTGTTTCCACATCACTGGATTTTGTTTGTAGAGATGATGGCACTTTCTTGCCAGCCAGTAAGTGAGTAGTAGATGCGTAATTGGTTTGAAATTTCTTCTTTTTTGAAGGAGACTCTTGATCCAAACTCCTGGAACTTCGATCATAGCTCCTAAAATGAATATACTCATGTTATTAAAGTAATTTCCCATGCCATACTCAGCCAAAACAACTGCAACTTATGGTGCTGTTATTAAGCAGCAATAATTGCTACAAATAAAGTGCTGGTAATGAATTAATGCCCACATTTCTCACCTTCTCAAACTAATGTCGTCATGCTCTTGCTGGAGCATGGTGGGGTGCAGCACACACTTGCCACAATCAATTTCAACCCTGATATCAAGCTCAAAGTCAATGTTCCTCTCCGTGGTGGTGCCAGTGACGCTCCTGTTGGTGGGTGTTGTTGGCCAGCGCTCGGTGAACAGCTGGTGGACAGCGGCAAAGCCCGTGGCTTTCTTGCGAGAGGTGCTCCTGCACAGGCACAGGCAGGGCACAGATCAGCAGGACATTTACCTCAGCAGGGGCTAGGAGGCATTCCCAAACTCTGTCCTCACTCAGTGTATAATCTCTCCAAAACTTTTTTGGAAAAGGCTCTAAGTTTTCACTGATATGCAGCAATACAGTGACCCATCTTCCACTAACACATTACATTTCTAAGCCTTACTTAAATTCTCAAGCAAAAAAGAAACAAAAATACATATACACAAWAAATTTCATATTTATAAATATCCACATTATTACATCCAGTTTGTGGAAGTAAACCCTTTTCTGTGCCTCAAAACACTTGCTTTCCAAGTTCTTTTATTTTGTTCCAAGCCCTGGAATTTCTAACAAGTGACTCTTCTTCTGATCAGAATCCATCCTACACAGTCACCTCTGCTGAATGCAACCTCCCCTGCCTTCCACACACACACACATACTTCAGGCAAAATTCAATACGTGATCAGCMACAGAATTTAGAGCTTTAAATTCAGTATTTCAAGTCTGAGAGCACTGAAAGTATTGAAAGTATATTCAGGTATCTTCTTCATTTCTGTGCTGTTCCTCAGGACCGTTACTTACGGTGGTTTCCTATAAAAGTACGTCCTCTCCCTGTCATGGTCATCCTCCTTGTCCGAGTCCTCACTGCTGGAGGATAAGCTGTCATCCCGGCGTCCTTCTTCAGGCTGGAAGGGAATGCCGGGTGAGAAGACTACTGGAGTTTTGGGTGAACCAAATACCGAGCATGAGCCTTCACTAGTAGATGAGTAATGGGAGGGAGCATCAATAGTTACGGACAAAAGGTCCATTTCTGTCTCCTCTGGAAACTGATTGTGAAAAGACAAAAAGATAGTAAATTTCCACAGATATGATTTCCACCGAGAATGCAGTAGATAGATCTGGAAATACAGAAGGAAGAAGGTTATGAGAAACTCTCACTTCTGAGTTCCTCATAACAAGGAGATAGCAGGTAAGGGAATTGCAAGAAGGATTAGGAAAAAGAAGGGAATGAAAGCTTGGTGGGRAGATGTTTGCCATTGCCTAGTGAGCGAGCTCAGCCTGGTAGATAAAGACTCATCATGCTCTTACTGATTTAGAAGAAATGCAGAGATTTCATTGAAATTTAACAACTATTTTGAAAGAAGAGGACAGAAGGCAGCCCAAGGTGCCAGGACTTGCAGGGAGCATTAGTGAGGGCGTGCAGGGCACTACACAGAATGTACGGCACCGCCCCCGGGCACCCCAGCCCGAGTACAGAACCAAATGTGCTAAAGGAGCCTCCTCTTTCTCACAGAAATCATGCCATGAGCAATTTTCCAGCATTAAATTCTGAAAATGCTTGGGSAAAGTATCTACAAGTGGTAAATACCAGCACTTCCTACGCAGCGTTACTGTTGAGCTACACAGTTGTTGCCTGCAAATTCAAATTAGAGCTCTGCTGAACAACTGGCACTATGATGCCAGGAAAATACATTTTGTAGAAAATATTCAATGTTTCATGCCTCTAAGTGTTTGATAGCATTTGCYACACCAACAGAATCCACTAAGATAACTGGGTATCTAAGTAACACCAACAATAGGTAGGATAGCTTTTAAATGTGAACATATTTAAATGTGCAAAGCACATTCCCAAATGGCATTTCCACCTCTTTCTCAGGAATTTATTTCCTAGGAGCTTGAGGTGAATCAGAAGGGAGAAAAGGTACATTACCATCTCTTCAGTTTAATTTCCTTTTGTTTGTTTAGTTTTGCCTTTGCTGATTTGAGTTTTGGGTCCACATGGTTTATTTTTTTTTTTTTTTAAGGAGAAAAAACTACTATATTGCCTGAACCTGTTTTTGAAAGCAGTTAAAAAGCTCCCTTTGTTCTCAGGACATTAAGTTTTGGAACATTCCCTACTTGCTGTTATTTGAAAATGTCTTATTCTGTATTACACACAAGAATTTCAACAGAAATTGARTGTGAGATGATGTCCTCCCACCTGGTAATGGTTTAGTACCGGTGTTGATTGCTGTTACATTGGAACACAATGTAACAGGTGAAGGCACACACTAAAATCCTCTTCTAAAGAACATTTCAAGGCTAGGTTTGGGTCTTTCACACATTAGCCTTGCTCAGTCTTCAARCAAAACCCCAATAATTCCATTCACAAAAAGTTTTAGATCTACGTAAGGATGTAGAAGCACTTTGATTAYTGTTCACCAACAATAAATTGTATTCTTCTTAGTTCATGTATTTAAATTTAAATATTTTCAAGCTTGATATACATTCTGTTTAGCTGAGTGCAAAAGAGATGAAATATTGAAAAGCAGCTCCCTATGAGATAAATTAGTTCTCTGGCAAAGAATACTTGTTTCTGCTCAGAAATACCTGAAAATACCCTTCCCCTGGACAGATGGATTGTTGTGCAATCCCCAAAGCTGTTTGATTCAACTTAATAGAAATGAAAAAAATATAGAAATTAAAACAGTTTCAATAATCTCAGCTGCAAAATCAACACTTTAAAAATGAGAAAACATAGTGACAAAAAAAAAACCCAAAACCAAAACAAAACAAACTCAAAAACCAAACACAAAAACCCAACAAAAACAAAACAAAACCGAAACAAAACAAAAAAACCAAACCCCGAACCAATTCAAAAATCCATGTCAAACACCAAAGATATCCCTGTAGAGCTACAGCAAACTGACTAACACCCATTTCCAAAACTAAATGTATTCAAACACCAAAAAAACCTAGGTGATTTTTTGCATATTTCTAACAAACATTCCAAGAAAAGTACTACTGTGTAAGCCTAAAAAATAAATCAAGCCATGTTAAAATATTTTTCTCTCATGGTTCAATTAATTTCTGTGCTAAGAAACTAAAGTACATCTGTCTTGTAATGAAACAAGACAATCTTCCAAAARCAAATCCAAAATTTGAGGCAAACAYTAACAGCAACTGGCACACAAAACTGTAAGAACAATTCAGGCCTGCCTGGATATCATTATCTCATGATATTGTGACCAAATGGCACAGGGAATGCAATTAGATGGCAGAGAAAGCAATTCTTACAGAATCTTGTATGTTGAAGGTTACTCTAGGCCCAGGGGATGCAGCATCCACACGGATATCTGGGAGGTCTTCGCTGTCTCCCAGTCGAGAGCTGTAAGCAAAACAAAACCAAAAGAGCTTGGTAAATTCTACTGCAGGATTTTAGGGTCATGCAAATGTTTAACTACATAAATAGAAGGTCATACTTAAAATTTTGTTATGGAGGAATATATTAAATCACATTTGAAGCACTTGGTTACATGACAAGGATGGAGGGAGAGAAGAAAAGAGAAGGAAGGTACACATAATTTGGCCACTAGTTAATCTCTGCTTACTTCTTTATGCAAGCTTTTCCATCCTAAATCAACATGTAGAAATGACAGAAGAATAAGATATTTGTAATCTACCACATGGGACAATTATTCACACATGAAAAAGAATCTCCTTTTCTTCTTCTCATCGCAGCAGCCCTTTTAAAAGGCACATGTTTGTAAATAAAGTGTAGAAAACAAGCTTATTACACTATTTTTCCTTATATACATTTCTTCAGTATGTTTTGAAAGCAGGATTTTACAGCAAACCCCAAGTTATTGTACATGTGGAATCTTCTCAGAGATTCAAAAAGATGAGCAAAATGCTTTTTAGAACATGCCTGTCTTCCAAAATGACCTTCTCCTATCCACTTCCACCACAAATTACTGCTGCCTGTAGTAAAAAGACTACATTTCCCCTGCTCCATACTCTGCTGCTGCTACCACAGATCCCAAATTCCCAGCAGCTCACCTTGTTCTGTCCATTCTCTTCAGAGGTGGCCTGCCTGATGCTGAAATGCTCTTAGAGCGGCTGTAGCTGGGTTTGTAGCTGAGACCCCACTTGTCTTTCAAGGAAGCAGCCTAAAACAGAAACAACATTGAAACCCAACAGCTGAGAACACAGAGCAAAACTCTGTCAACCTAAAATGCTACTGAACATTAGTGTGACAGCAAAGTAAAAGGGTTTTTGGGACAAAAGGGCTACAATATTCTCAAAGTAGCTTGATTCTGCTTACCCTCATGCTGGATCTGCGGAGCTTTTTGCGGACATCCCTGCGGATGTCGTTGACAGCCACCGACTCCAGCTGCTGATAGCGCTGAATTTCTTGGTTTATGGTCCCTTCACTTGCTCCTAATTTTCTGCAGATAAAGCATGGTTGAGTTATCTTACAAATATTTTTTCCAGCATCTCAAAAATTTGTGTAGTGAGAATGCTTTCCCTGGGAATTATCCCATTTTCTTTTCTTTTCCAGTACTTCTGACCAGTGCCAAATACAGCTGCAGAAATATTAGATCAAACATTTAACCTCAAATCCAAAGTTCAGATAAAATTCCCCTCTGAATGGTAACAGCAATTTCATTTTAAGTTCAAACAGTAAAACGTGTATGCTCTTCATTATTTAACATGTAATTACTAACCTCTGTATCCCCATTCCAGACAGATCTATTTATAGGAAGTCTGTCTTAGGGAAAAGGGGGAAAAAAMCCCAAAYAAGCCYAACAAACCATGTCCACAAATACCATTTATAAAATTCACAGAAGTTCAGATGAMATTTGTGAAATTTGAGATTATTTTTTCTTAAGGGTTTTCTCAAGTGCAGCACAGGAGATTTATCTTGAAAACACCATGTTCAAGATGCCAAAAAAAGTACATTTAAATATTTTTTTCCTCTTTTTCCTAAACTTATTATGATTTCAAAGTAATATATTTTGTAAAAGTAGTCAGTATGATAATACATCAAGAGGGAACTATGATTTTGAATCAATAGGAAACAATTATAATGAGTCATTAAAATGCAGAATCAGAAAAACAGAGACTAATCCAACACTTATGCAACAACCAGAGAGATTTGAGGGAGTATTTGCATATACAGCGTTTTCTTCTGGAATCCAAAAGGACCATTTTTTATTTTTAAATAAAGGCAAAGATTTGCACTTAACCATAACAGTGCCATAAGATGTACAGTAAGAAAATAAAACAAAACCTACTTACTTTAAGTCATCAATGACTTTAGCTTGCTCATTGAGTTCTCTGATATCAACTAAACGTTTCATAAATTTCCTTCCTCGCTGTTCTCCAGTTTGGATACTGGAGGATCCCTGCCGCCGGTGATCAACAATTTCCTGTTTCAAACAAACATTTCATTAATGCCCTCATCAAAAACTGAACACCAGTACGATTTAAACAACAGGCAATGTGAATTTCACACCTTCAAATTTGGACTAGCGCATGCAAAAGAATCAATTCATGTGACCAGGCAGCTGATTGGATTTTTTCCAGTGATCCAAAGCCCATCATTCAGTTAGACACACTGTAACTACTACATACATGTCCCCATGAGCAGGATCTGCCTGCTTTCATTTGTGCTCTGCTAGACTGGAGCAAATCCCGCTTCGCTGAGCCCAAGAGATATTCTACAGGAACAGAGTATCGGTGGGTTGGGGGGCTCAAACCCAGCAGGTGATTTACAATCCTCTGCCCAAATGTGAGCTTGCGTGCATCTCCACCCAAGGAACCTCCACCTGATTTCTGGACAACAAACAGGAACATTAGTGTGCTGGGATAATGTTTCCACCGTTGTCAGGCAAGAGACATTGAGAAACAGCTGTTAAAAAGGTTTTATAGAAAACCAAAAAGCAAGGTCAGTAGCATATTGCATAGAAGTAGGTTTTTTTCTAATTTGCTCACGTTAGTAACTTACTGCCCTGTGAAGGAAACCTAGAAGAAAGGCACAGCTTTCACAATTCAGGCACCTGAGGTTAGGTGCTATGTTTTCAAATCCAGATCGATATTTCCATGTAAGACCAGTAGAAACACGATCTGTGATTTCTTGCCTTTGAAATATGGAGTTAGAAAACACACACAGACATTTCTGCTTTGCAAAAAGACTTGTACAAGCTACAAAGACTCACATGCTGGACTCAAATCAGCACTAAGACCTTTCCATTTGATAGAAGACTTTGTCACATCTTTTCCAGTTAGTAGCACTTATTTTGGTGGATTCACTTACTGCATGTATAGTGGGAGACATGGTGTCAACTTCATCCTCATCTGAGAGGTCAGCTATGTTCACAGAGTTGAGGTCAGCGATGTCATCAATATCCTCCTCTCCTGTCAGCGTTGTGAGGGTGTTGCCCAGTGCATTCAGTCTTTTCCCAATGTTTGGATCCATGTGGACATCAATACCACACATCTTCCACAACACATTCAGGGTCCAGGTTCCAGCACTACTACTTTCTGCGTCAAAAAAATAAAAAAAAAGAGTTTAACCAGTCTTTCCTCTTTGAAAAAATCCCCCATCCTGAATTTTGTACTAATTAGCTAAGGCAGTGTTTGTCAGTTAAAACGAACTGTCTTTTCTGCCCATTCTGAGGAAAACATATTCCACAACTGGAATACTTTGTGGAAATACTTCTCAGCTACAAAGTCAGTATTTCTTTAACAAGTGATATAACACAGGTGGACTTAATAAAAATACATTCCCTTCAGAGCAAGTAAAAAGCATCTCAAGCTTCTGCTCTTTCAACTGCAGCCAAGTATACCATTCCAAAATGGAATTTCTAACAGCAAGAAACGTAACTCATGTCTTTCTGCAGGTACAAATGCTGACCTATTTATTCAAGTCTTGGACAATGATGCTAGAAGATGTTATATGTGTAGTGTGCCTAGTGAATAGCCTGTCTTCCCAAGATTTTTCTGCATCAAAATATAGACTTTGCTCTAAGCACAACTACACAAGATACTGGTTTTCTTTCTAAATGGGGAGTATGGCCAATACAGAGACTGACAGCTATTTCTGAGTGCTCTGAGAATGTCCAGACTACTTAGAATGGGCAGAGAGGGAGACTGAGAAAAAGAGAAGCCTTTTCTGGGAAAGGTGAGAGAGAGAGATGAAAGCTCAAGGTGCAAAGCCTCAGCATGAGAAAGATTTAGCAATCCCTAGGACAGGAAGCAACAGGACAACATTACTATTAGAAAAACTGTTGCTGACTCTTCTCCAACCAATTAAATCAAAACATAGTTAAAGGACTTGAATTTCATATTTTATGAATACTTTATTTATGTAGGACTTGATTTATTAAAACAAGCAAATTACCTGCGGCAGCTTGTCCTGTTGTCCTAGAACAAACTTCATAGGTACCATCTGGCACAACACCTACACAAAGCATATAAAGCAAATACAATGATTAGGCAGCCAGTAAAAGTTACTTTAGAACTCTGGCCTTCCCCAGTCCCACCTTCAATTCTCTTGCTCACTATAAAAATGGTAGGAATTTTAATTTCCATGGAAGGATTTTTGTTAAGTGTTTTTGTTAAGTTTGAGTAAAGTGAATCTGCTTGGTAACATACAAAACCCTACATGCATATTATCATTAATAAATGGCATTTATATCAGCTTAAAATTCCACACAAAAATCTAGACTTTTCACTAGAATTAAAAATACATATAAATTAAAATAACTCATATTAAAAATTGATTGGGATCTTTTGAAATTGTATAAAAGCAATGCATCCAACTCTTCTAACAGCTCGCAGAGAGAAGTTAAATTATTACAGTGAGATATAAAGCAATAAAGTTCATTAATAAAGGAAAACAACAAAGGACTATAACCTTTGAGATCCATATAATTTTGCTTTCAAAAGGCCAAAGCCTTGTTTTTTACTTTTTTTGGGGAAAGTTCAGCAGTTTTTAAAGTCAAGGGGAAAAGTGGATTTATATCTGAAATACCCTTGCCCAGTATGAAATGCCCCCCCACTTACATGCATTCATGACTAGATCTCCTCGTATTTCTGGTTTCCAGTCATCCCAACTTGTCTCAAAGCCATCAGCAAAGCGGATACAGAAGTTTTTAAAATGACCTTTGCTAACTAAAGACTCTGAAGAGCAGGCAGTGATGAGTGTGCTTTCAATAGTCAGGACTAAAGCAGAGCCAGTGTCAAGATCTGCAGAGTGGTTAGACTGGAAAATAAAATCACAGGGAGAATTTACAGTCAGTGCAATGTCAAAACAATATTATACATTTACTAAAGGTCATTTATTTTTCCATATTAGAAAACTGATCCCCTGCTTGTATCTCCTTGTATTTTTCCTTCTGTCCATACAATGTCTTGCAGTGCTGTTTCCTAAATGCAACACCTACATTATAAATATATTAGGGTGCTGGGAATCAAGCTTATCTGGAAAAGCAACAAAAATGCATATTTGATCAAGGACTAGACAATCAAGGGCTGTAATCCATATGGTCCATGACCACAGAACACAAGCCCAGGAACGATTCTTTTCTCCAGGAAGGGTCACACATGATGTGAGTGAACAATGACAACAAGCAGCTTTTATTTTCATTTGACTTTTTGGTGTTTACTTTGACGTGCACAATTACATGCAATCTTAAGTCTACAGACTGACTGATTAATTTCTAGCTCTATATATGAACATCTATAATTATGTTTAGCTGCAAAAAAGCCCACATATTTCCTTTTACAAAATCAAACTTTTTTTAAACACATATCACCAGGTTCTTGTATATGTACCACACACAAATTGTTATTTTAACAGGTTTCCAATAGTCACACTTCTGCTTACCTGGGGTGTGTTTGTGATGGGCAGGCAAATTCCTAAGTCATTGACAGTCAGCTGAAGGAACAGTGTCCCAAAAGCCTGTGCAGAGGTTTGCTGGATTCCAGGCAGCATATCTACCACTTCTTTTGTGGCCATGTGAATATCTTTATGTAAAGCCATTCTCTGCTCATTCCAGTTGTCATACGCCGCCTTGTAGTTCAGCCAGAACAGCACAGCTTGATGAGGAAACCAAAAATGCTTAAATGAAATCAACACTTTAAAAAAAAAGCACATTCACTAAATAAATTCTTTTCCCCCCTCTTTTTACAATTCTCCATTACTTTAAGTCAGAGATTGTAGAATAGTAGCTACACACACATTCAGGATGCAGTGATCAGGCTCATGCTTCAAATGACAAGACAGACAAACCTCATCATTTACCATCAGTTAATACAATAAAATACACACAGACCTGTTCTCAGCTTGATTCATCTGGGAAAATTTACAACAGCAACTTCATCCAAACCATCTGAAAACTAATCACCTCAACAAATGGAATTTATGATGTTTGATGACAGAATTAGCAATTTGTTGGCATGGTGGAGATCTCCCAAATTTCTCAGCTACTTAACATTCTGCCTTAACATGAAATATGTTGGATCTTAAATAATCAAACTTCTTGGGAAAAAAAAAAAAAAACCCATCTCTCCCTCAGAATGGACACAAATTTGTAGGAATTGTCTCTACATTACCTCTGTCAAAGGCCACGGGCTGGGCAAAAACAATGGGTCTGTTCAAAGTAATGAGCACAGCTTCCCTGTCTGATGAGCCACTGATTTCTTCTCTGAGAGCATTTCTTAGTCCAATTCTTGTCTTGAAATAGGCAACTTGATGAAAGTCTGAACCAGCTTCTTCATAAACCTAAAAATGTTCCAAAAAATGGGATGAGGGAGAGGTTTGCAGCAGGGAAGAGTTCAGGGATGGGGAGAGGGAAAAGAAAAAACGGATCAGATTACTGCATTTGACAAAATGTAAACTTAAAACAACAAGATGTCTCCTATCCCCTCTTTCTCCTCTAGCCAAAGACCCTTCGAGGATTTTCAATATTCTTGCATTAAATTCTGATCATAACATTACTTTCCTTGCTTATCACAAATGATTAACTAAAATAACTTTTATATAGCCAGGTCCTCTGTTGTGACATTTGATTTATAGGCTCTGAGTTTTCTATTTGTTTGTTTCTAGGCATCACAAAACACTTTCATATCCTAGAACTAGTGATTCCAGGTTTAACAATACAAGAGGTGCAACTGTCAAACCAAGACAGACAAACTAGGTCAAAATGTAGGTCTGGCAGAGTTTGGATCTTCTCTGGTCTTATTATTTCATTCAAATATTCTAAAAATGATATCAGTATCAACAAAAGTTTTGAGCTTGACTCAGAAGAAAGGCTATTACTGTTCAAAAGGGCTAATAAGTTCTAAGATATTGACAGTGTGGGAAAAAAAAAACCCAAAACAAAAAACCAGCACAACAACCTCTTGACTTAGTTATGTAATTTTTGAATCACATAGTATTAAGAACATGCAAAGATTCTGAGCACTAACCTGATGTTTAACAATCTGTCCCAAAGCCAGATTCAAATCCACCTGGCATTTTCCAAACAGTTTGAGGTAGCTGCTACTTCCAGGCATTGCTTTGGTTTGCAGTCTGTTGGAGAGCTCAAGTTCTATCAATCCCGTTTCAAACCTCACAGCGCGCATCGAGGGAGTTGTAGCTGTCACTTGAATTCCCTGATGGATAAAAAAGGCACAAAGTTATGAGCATCTGGTTCAGAGACATGAAGGGAAAGGAGAAAAACCCCTCAGCACTGTTTTGTCTTCATAAGATTACCTTAAACTGCAGGCTCAGTGAGTAAAGAAGAATTTTTGGTTTTTCTCCATCTGTTGTGCCATCGTGCTCATTCCAAAGAGGTATTGGCTGCTCCCCTCCTGCACACATTAAATACACACAATCAGAGTTTTAGTAAAGAAAACATTT